CGGGCTTATTAATTGCTGATTTGCTGCGGGAAATTTGTAATGTGTGGTAGTCTGAGATTAATGTGTCGTTTTTTTCTAATAGCAAACGTGATAATTTTGTAATACGACGTATCATATAATTGATTCGGGATTTGGTACGGCTTTTGCCGTATATAAGGCAGAGCAAATATAAAACAGCAAATGCTACTTGAGAATCAATTCTGGCGTGTCTCACGTTATTAAATACCACCGTGACCTTTTGAATTTCAAATCTTCAATTAAATTGAAAGTCTCTCAGACTCTCTCTCAAACGAAAATGGAAGGAAAAGTTGCGTCGTCTCTGCTTGATTGACACGGAATTCAGAGGGGTCGACAATCTCTCGCGCCACTCGAAAGCGTCGTCGGCTCTCCCCTCTGTGATCGGTTGATTTGCGTTAAAAAGCGGAAAAAACAAAAGAAAATTTCGTCGGGAAGACAGGCGGAAAAACGCGCGGGGAGCGACGAGCGCGCACGGCCGTTCAAATGACGAGGGGGGCCGCGAACAGGAACAAGTTTTAATAACGGTGAATCGGCGATAGGCAGAAGTTCCGGCTTGTAATCGGCTCAAACGATTGTTTAACCTTATCGCGCGCAGCGACGAACACAAATCCTATATAGGTAGATATACATTGCGTAACCGCTACTCGCGGGAGCGATCAGGATTCCATAAACCAAAACTATCACGAGCCGGTGTCCGTACCCTCTCCCTCTCCCTCTCACTCTCTCTCTCTCTCTCTCTCTCTCTCTCTTCGCAACGTATCCTCCGCGAATAATGGATTTATGACACGCGTGTTAGGCTTGAAATACGTGCATTACGGATTAGCTTCGCTCGCTGCCGCGAAACTAAACGCGTCTAATGTACGCTGCTCTTTACAGCCCGGCGCTATTCGCCGATATGTGTAGCGGATCGTCATAAACCGGTTAAAGAGCGATTTTGGTCGGCGAGATATCACTATAAAGATGTCGCGAAACCGGTCTCTCATAAATCGCGTCTCCCTATGTCACGCGCTGATGAAAATTACAACTTTCGAGAGGAAGATGATGTGACGAAAGTCAGTTAGTCAAGCTCATCGGTACAACGACGGCTCGCGCTCGCGCTCGCGAGAGGATGAGAAGCTGACGCGGACAGTTCCGAGACTGATAGGAAATTAGCGCGCGCTGATAATCGATCCTACGGATGAACGTTCAATAGGGAGATAAGGCACGTAATTTGTTTTCGTTCTCTCTTACGGAGAACTTACTTTGATCGCTTATCAATGAAAACAGATTAATTTCTCGGAAGGAAGACTCGCGTGTTTTTATCTGAATAGATCTGGAGTGTCTGGTTATCGAAGCATCACGTTAGTGTGACGAGGCGATTAAGTGTTAATAATAGACGCGATAGCTACAGCGACGCGAGTTTTTCGACGACCAATACGACGAGATTCATCTCGTCCGCAAGGGTCGCATTATGTGTACGTTAATCCGCGAAAAGCAGCGAGCGCCGTTGAGTAATGGAGGAAACTAGTAACTGTCACTCTGACTTTTGTAGGAATGACCGGCAAGGCACACGCCAGCAATGGAACTTTTCTGTTCGTCTAATTGTCCTAACGGCTGACCTCGGTAGTCCACGCTCTCTTATCGCCCCCTCGTTTCGTACCTACGGTGCTCCGCTCTTCGCCTGTTCTTTCTCCTTTTTTACATAATGATTAATGCTAATAAAGAGCACGAATGGAATGAATCGTCTTATATTAAACAATACTCTTCTCGATGTTCTTTGTCACGGATATCTATGAGACTCCATATATTTCGGCCATTCGTTTAATACCTAGTTCAATGATTCTTAACTCACAATTTGGAAGCTAATCTTTTCATCGGGCAGAGATAAAATTCAAAAATAAATGGTCGTATCTAACTCCACGCGCAATTAAACACTCGATCGTGTCTTTTACATTTTGTTGCGATATAATATTTTTTTCTTTGAGCATGCTTTCTAATTTCGATCCCTTTCTCTCTCTCTCTGCAAAAACAGCTAACGAAATTAATCGGCCGAACGCGCACGACGGAAAGTTCGTCGCAAACTGTATTTTTAAGCTCGCTCAAAGCCCGAGCTTTGCGGTCCGCGATCAGTTAGCTATCGACTCCGAATCGCCGCGGCTCGTTAAGACGACTGAAGTCGGCTTTCGCCTCGGATTTCCGATACATATACCCGGATAATTAATGGTAAACGCATCACGCGGCGGTGATAGGCGGGCTGCGCGCGAGCGCCTCTTGCGCCTGCCATAGTCGAGACAGGTGCCACGGATCGGGGCAGTCTCGCGGTCAGGGTTTGTACGTCGAATGAATAATGCGAGTGCACTTGCATCCTGGCGTCCGATCGTACATAGGAAAGGAAGGCAAAGTCGCCGGCTACAGCGCGCTCCGCCTCGGCATTATCCGTTCTCCAGCGCTCGCCTGCGCGAGCGCACGTGTACAAGACGCGCGCGCTAAGTGCGCACACAAACACGCATGATCGAGGACCAAAGGTATGCTGCATGCAGAAACGCAAAAGAGAGAGAGAGAGAGAGAGAGCAAGAGGGGGGAAGAGAAAGATAGATAGGGAAAGATAGAGAAGCGGAGATAGCCTCGTGGGCATAAACTGCTATATGCCGAAGTATACCGAAACGGAGCAAGGCGAAGCTCGGCATTCATTGCCCATCGGACTGTTTCCTAGCATCCACGGTCCCATTTACAACGGTGCAACGGGACATGGTTTGCGGTAAATTAACGTTAAATGAAGATGTATATATACGTTATACGTGAAACTATGTACCAGCAAAGAGACTCACTGTTGGCTTAAAAGTAGCGCACATATAGTAAACGAAGAGTTGCACAGCAGAGTGGCTTTAATTAAATCGCCATCTGTTCTGTTCATTCTTTGTAATTAAAAAGTGGCGTGCGTATGCGCTTAATGCCAATTTTATCGGTCTACTGTCACATAACCTATTCTCTACTAGTGCAGCCAATGGGAAAAAATCCGCACGCGTATTTACGCGAATTCATTATGTAATGATTGTTATCGCCCCAGTACTACGCGGTATGGTCGTGTAGTCTTTTAATTGTAGCGAACTAATTATTTTATTCGTCGGCAATATAAAGTAAAGAAGAACGTGCAAATATACTTACATATGCAAGCGCACGCCTGCAAAGAAAGGTAATTAAATATTTACGTCGCAATTAAACCGATTGTTCAACAAGTCCCGCTCCTTTATTGCAGCGACACACTCCAGATCTTTAATCGCGATAACTGCTGTTGAAAATAACAAACAGAAACATGCGGAAAATGTATAACACATGTGTGTGTATTATTAATTTTCACGTGCAAAATTTATTTTTACCGAGTGTCTCAGTGAGGCAGAATGTGCTCCGCGACGTCGCACAACCGACGTTGCAATCCCTTTGCGAGAATTTCACGGCTGTTATGACCGATATTCTGTCACCGTATATCCACCAATTGACTTAATGATCCGAGTGAATCTATTCTCGATGCAGGACCTAAGTGCATACACGGGGGTAACATATTGGATGCTCACACGGTTAACAAGCATCTGAGTAAACAGTCTCCAACAGCCTTGACAAAGCAACGCGCGGTAACCCTTGCAATTGGGGGGAACCTGGTCATTCGGGAAATTCGTGATGAAAGATCGAGAGATACGTTACTCTCTTGTGAGTAAGGATCTCTTTTTCTTCTATTCGGAACACAACAAGAGAGACGCGAGATGTGAAAATCCATATGACGCGATTATTAATATCTGTGAACGCATCGTAACTCACAACGGATGTGATTACTCCCCTGCTTTGCAAATGGTGCTGGGGGGTGTTATATACGCGACTGTAATATACTATATAAATTGATATGTACTTATATATCGAGTAGTTTCTAACCGCATGCGTACGCAATTTTGTATCTACGTATATATATATATATATATATATGTGTATAATAAAATTTAATGCATCGATACGCCCGAGTGCTTAGTGGTGGTTTCTGAATGTATGAACAGCACCGACAGTTGCTTATCGAAGATGCATTGAATCCACGGTAGTGTGGGTATGTACGTGTACCATGGGCATGGTGTACACGATTACATTAGACGAGAGGCACACGTGTATTATGGAGGGCGTCCTCTCTATTATGAAATCCATACCAAATATCTAATATGACGAGTTGTCACTGATAACGCTAATATATTTATTTTGTAGAAACCTGAATGATGTCGATGATAAGTTTCGTTCCCAGAATTGTAATAATTCTGAAGATGAGATGATTTCAGTCTGACTGTGAAGGAATTTTCGCGGCAATCGCACGATAAAAATATTGATTCAGTACAATGGAAACACTTGCGACAATTTTCTGCTGTAATCTGCCCGATGAATCATGCGCTAAAATAGAAATGCGCTCAAGTATACCTATCGAGTAACACATACACACATACACACCCATCTGACGTATTCAATTAAAAATCTAATTTAAATTAACATCAATTATACACTGGCAAATGCCGAGCACACTATGTCAATATGTCAATAGCCGTAATAAAGTGTGACAACGAATGTAATTAATTGAGTTTCAATTATTAAGTTTTGACGTTCTATCTCTACGAGTAAAATGACAAAATTATTGGTAATCATGTTATAATTGCAAAGGTTAAGTCGTGACGAAAATATGATTGCCGTAATATAATTGCCGATTCGTTTGATTCTAATATTATCAATTACGTAACATGCGCAATTTCTCAATAGGAACTTTTAGCTTGAGGTTTCATTACAGCGAGTGTAGTGTAGTTGTTTTTTTTGAAAGATAATGAATGTCGCGATGGATCGATATATATATTAAATTGATTTAACGAACGTTTCGTGGAACGTAATCTTCTAGAACAAAATGATATATCAAAGAAATGCGATAATGCGAACATGATAAGCCGAATGATAAGAGATTACTGCGGGTATATAAGTGTGCACCACACATTATGTCAGTAGACCTCGAGTAGCTTTCCTTCAGTTATATCGATTCGCAGTTCGTAAAGCCAATCAAGATGTCGGCGCAGAAATATATCATCACTGTGGGTCTCGTGGTCGCCGCTTTACTGGCCATCAACACCGAAAGTGCTAGTGGCTCTAATTATTATGCCGCAGCAAACAAATCGCACCATCTGATCGTCGGCTACAGGATGCCAGGTGACAGACTCGTCTACAAAGAGAATATCGTCAAGGAATCCTCCTGGATGAGGGTTATAACTGTGGAAAAGACTTTCAATGTCACCAAGTACGAACGTATCACGCTTCTTCAAGCATTGGACCAAAAGACAAACGGCAATGGCGCTCATGCGAGTATCCTGCAAGGTGGGCCCGGACATAGCAATGTGACCTTAAAGTTCAAGAGTGAGAGAGGTCACGGTATCAACTTTGTCGTCGAACTGTATGCACGTTGAAGAATCAACTTCGAGAAAAGCAGTCGACATTACGGCAGACGACCGGTATGATGATTTCTGAATGCGATTATAATGGGGAACATGAAATAAATAATTCAGATGGTCGTGATGTTACGAGTCCAGTTACATATTCATTGGCGATATTGTCGCCAATAAGAGAGAGTGTGTCGTTTGTTGCTTTTGTTATTCACTTCAATATTGGCTTTATACACATTACGAATAAATCAGAGTGAGAGAGACCACTATTATATTATATATAGTAATTATATTTATTTTCCTCTTAGATTTAAGTATAAATATCGGTCAAGTCGATACAAATAGAAATAGTTGGATAAATGAACAACACGCGCGTGCGTGAAATTCACCAACGAAATATTCTAATAAAAACGATAAAATCTCCGTCACATTGTTTCGTCGATATGCCGAAAGCCATTGACATTCACCTTTATCGCGCACCTCTATCATTGCTATTTATATCGCGCTGTTATCTCACAGTTATCTCGATATTACGCGATGCGACGCGACGTGAAACGAAAAGAATAGGAGTGACGATGCGAGCGCCGTGGAAGGAATTTGGAAGAAGTGTCGATAATAACGCAATTAGCGTCGAAGCGAGACGCGACAGCGATCCGGAATAAAAACGGACCGCGAGGAATCCACTCGCGGAATGTCTTTCTTGCACGCGCTAATCAAGCGCCGGCCGTTTCTCTTCGAAACTCCCGATAATTCCCTCTTTTTTCCTTTGCGCTTCTTCGGGGCTCGGCGGAGGCGGAATCCCCGCTGGCGGAGTTCGGGGTCGTCCCCAAAGAACCGTGCGCGAGGCAACGGACGGGGTTTCGACGGGGAAGTAGAGAGGAACGTCTTCTATTTCCGAGGCTTACGTACAAAGTACGTTTTGCGCATGCATGCATGGCGGCACGGAGGAGGAACAACCGACTGGAAAATTGTTGTCGCTTCGTGGCGCATTCTAGCACGGGTATCCCGCCGGCTAGAAGGAACTTCGAATCGAGTTGAGGACCACTGGAAATTGGTGGCGGTATCTCAAGCTTGCGAACGACCATTTCGTTAACCTACTTATTCTACCTCCGTTCCAGCCGCGTTGCTCGCGAAGCCACGCCGGAGTACCTAGTTTGTCCGCAGTTTCCGCTTCTGAAAACTACGCGCGGAAGGGAGGAGCGTAATTCGCGGTTTCTACGTGGCGCTCTTCATTGATTGCGTTTTAATGGATTTCGTCAGGGAGGAGGACCGATCGCGGCGCGCGGCGCGCGGCCCGCGGCTCTCGATCGCGGCGGTCGTTTGTGTTTCCGATGTGTGAGCGAAGTTATCGGCTACTTCGAACATATCCGACGTATAGAGTAGCCCACTACCGCCGAGTACCGTCACGCTGTCCCAATTCTGTCACGAACGAAGACAGGACTGTGCACCGGTATGCAAAAGGGATTATATTTGTGTAGTAGACAGAGGCATGTGCAATTTTTATATGCGAAAATTGGGCTTGGGACAAGGTTATAAGCGAAACACCCGTGCATTACCATGCATAGCGGAGTTGGTTTGCAGCGTGGTTGGAAAAACCGTGCGTATTTCGCCAAAATCAGTTCGCTCTTCGATATATCGGCGGCATTTGTAAAATTACACGAGCGCCGCGTAAATGTAGTCTTTAACCTTTTTCACCTTGAAATGTTTTACACATCTGCGGAGAAGGCAGATAAAGGTGACTGATATCATATGTGCAAACATATTTGCATAGAAGCAAGATGTTTTGCCGTTTTGTCATTAAGAAAACAAGCGTATCTGAATGAAAATTTTCTTAACAACGTGACTGTGCGCGTGACGATACACATGTCAGAACACACTTACGGTATTTTTGAAACATTCGCTCGAGTGGCGTTTGATATCGATCCCGTCGCAACAGTTAAAAGAAAGCATTAGAGAGAGAGAGAGAGAGAGAGAGAGAGAGAGAGAGAGAGAGAGAGAGAGAGAGAGAGAGAGAGCTTAGGACGTTGCTGATATCGTGCCACACATATCATTCGTGTCAAGATTGATTCGCGCGTCTATATATGGCAGACCTCAAATATAGCTGGCTTAGAAGAAAAAGTCGCGACGCTTCAAACTTTTCCTAGCGCAAATCTGTCTAACTCTAAACATAGCGCGTCGGTGAACATTAACATATCGCGCGACTATTCTGATAAGAGAGAACGAGGCTACTAAGGCTCTATATTTGAACGTCAGACAGCACAAAGTCGTTTGTCCTGTGAAACGCAACACGTGCGATAAGAGAGGCAGTATTATTTCCGTTGTAACGTCATAAAAATAGAATTGCTTATGAACGAGCGCTATATTTATTCTTTGACGTATATACGGAGAAATGGAGAGAGAGAGAGAGAGAGAGAGAGAGAGAGAGAGAGAGAGAGAGAGAGAGAGAGAGAGAGAGAGAGAGAGAGAGAGAGAGAGAGAGAGAGAGAGAGAGAGAGAGAGAGAGAAAGGGAAGAAAAAAGGACGCGCATACTTGTCGATCGACGACTCTAGAGCTCCACTTCGAATGCAGTCTCGCATCCCCTTATGTCGCGAGGTCGATCGGCACTGAGTGAGTCATGGAGAGTCGTGCGCAGTACTCGGGTGGTAGTAAACGACGAGCATCTCGTTCCGGCGAGCTTTTCACAAATTAAAGATCCCCCAACGTCTTGAAGGGCGAACACGTGAAAGCCGGTTACTACGACGCGCGGCGCAGCGTTGAAAATATTTAAAACTGCACTTTAATAACTATTTCAGTAAAGTTTGTCGGATTCTCCCTCCGACCGTATAGATTCCCGAGTGAAATTCTACACGAAGATCACGGAAACGTAGTTCGCAAGGCTCGATCCGAGCCGGACAGTGCACGACCGGATGAACGACGTATGTGACTCTCTGAGAGGGAGGGAGAGGGAGAGGGAGAGACCACACCGTGCGGCTAGTCGCGAGAGAAATCACGTTTTATTTTTTCGTCTGCGCGCCAACCGTGATAAGGAGGGCTCGTGCCTCGTAAAACACGTATGCATAAAAAGCCCCGACCGCACCTGGCAGCCGGCGGCGGCGGCGGTGGTGGTGGTGGTGGTGGTGGTGGTGGTGGTGGTGGTGATGCAGGGGCGTAAGGACCGCGACGCGGGACGCGCGACCGTAAACCTGTCGCGCGAGCCCGCGCGCGTTTGGTTATTGCTTATAAAGTCGCGGCACTGACGAGCACACGGACGTGCGCGGGACCAGAGTTGGACGGACAACCCGATGACAGGGATCGAGCGAGGACGAATGAAAGCGTGTTTGCATGAGCATAGCTACAAAAGAGCCGGCCGTCAATCCGAAACCGCAGCGGCCATTATCGGGCAATTTTAAACGGAACGCCGTAGTTACGACCGTCGCGTGCGCTCGCGCGCGCGCGCTTTAAATTCTACAGTCGTCAAACAACGCAACAACATCCCGCGCGCCGTCCGGCTCTTGGAATCCGTGAAATCAAACTGAGTGTCAGTGTAGTACGACCGCGCGACAACAAAGGGACGCGGCGAAACGCGTTTTCGAAAAGTGTACTCCCGCCGGACCCACTGGCTGCTGTGGAAAACATGAAAATACCGAGTGAAAAAAGAGCGCTAATAACACGACGACGTGATTTCTGGCCACGTGTAAATCCGTGATTTTCCGCTCTTTTCATCTTTGTAAATCTCGCGGTAATAAACAGACCGCGCTGCGACGACGGTTTGCGAACACGACGCGACGAGATATAAATTTGCGCAAATATTCTGCTCTCGCTCTCGTAATAATTGAATTTCTACATTTTGAAACTGCGAGCGAGCGAACGCGCGCGCGCGCGCGCACGCACGATGGATTTCAGCTGAAGCGCGAGCGCGGAGAAACGAGGGAGGAAGGAAGAAAGGAATGTCATAAGTCGGCGGCATATGCTTCTCGAGAGGCATTGCATGTGTAATGCAAGTCAGTCGAATCGCAAGCATTACGCAGCAAGTCTCGAACGAAATGGTTCTAATGGATTGACCAACTGACTTGCGTTTTTCGTTTGAAACCTCCTGCGAGTCATTTGAAATCCCATGTAAAAGCTGATGAGTTTAAAGCGCTGTGCGTGTCAGAGTTAAATGCGTTCCGCTGACAAGCCATACGCTCTTTCCATCGTGTGAAATGCATTGTTGTGTAGCATACAACTGGAATTATTATGAATTCCTGCTACGATTATCGCGATTGTGACTTTTTATTTGACGAAATCTCACGGCCAAATTATATCCAGGCGGTTTTCCGTTGCTGGAACAGTTGTTGTACAGTTTTTTTCAGTTAATTAATTACAAACCTAGCCTTGTACATCCTTTTTTAGAATATTTTTCCTCCATATTTATAATATCGTGATTTAATCACGATGGAAAATATTACACGCGAGATCGCAGGCGCAGACGCAAGCAATTATAATTAAGACGTTAGAGTATTATATCGCGAAATTCCGCGTCTTGCGAGCGTTTAGCTTGCCATTCTCCCGGCTCTACGTCCTTTGATATCAAAGCTGCTGATTGGCCACAAATGCAAGATCAGAGTCCGAACATCGGTAGGTCGGTATGTGGATCAACCATGGTGTCCTGTGCGGTCAGCTCGTTAACCGGTATGAACTACACATCGACTGAGTAATCTCCACTTGCTTATATAGGAAGCGCGATTGACTAATACCCTTTGATGACGGATTCCTTGACGCAAAGTCTAGTCGTAGCATTTCGGTGCAAATTGCTAATTCGGTGCGCCTTTGCTCGTCGTGAGGGACTTGACATTATCCTTTCCTTCTCCAAAAGCGACACACGAAGCGATCGTAAGTAAGGACGCAACATTGCGATGTTGCGTCCTTATGTATTTCTCTTTTTTCTCTTTCCGACAGGTTCCGACAGGCGATAGCCCGGGATCACTTATTCATCGCAAAAAGGTTTGATTTATTCATGGATGTATGGCCGCATACGATTAACTAACTGCCGGCGCTCAGATTTAATTCATGGCAACAAGAGTGGATAACTCACCGGCACTTTATTCGCCGGCGAGTAATCGCTTAAGATGTCACTAAGTACAGCGATTTTTCTTACGTTCGTACCCGCGGCCGGAGATACGTTCGTAGCAGATAAGCGGAAAGATACCGGAAAGA